CTGACCAAAGTTGGGCAGCTTGACTGAATGTCGAACTTTTGTTGTCCTCTCGCTTATTGCAGGCTAAGAAATAGCATTGGCGAACATTTCATGATTCCGCGGCCTAAACCCGCAGAATCATGAGAAGCGTTTCCTTTTTGATTTGCTATTTCCACAGTTCGATACGAGAAGATCTGACGAGAAACCTCTTCTATCTTTTTTCTAACGAATTTTTGGGTGGAATTTTGAAGCCTTGAGTTACACGCGCACACACATACATACTGATTTGTAAGCTGTTCATAAAAGTTAATGTTGCATTTATGTATGAACAAAACATGATGTACTTTTTTGTATTTACGGAAGGGAAAAAAAGAATCAGGAAAGACTCTTCTTTAACTTTACAATTCTCATTTTCTTGTTCTACAAAGACGAAATTCGGAGTGAGAGGCGTTTCAGATAGTTTCTGAATCTTGTTTATTATACCAGACACAGGAAAACAGAGGAAATGTTTTTATGTTCAAAAGAAATTGGCGTCCAAATGAATTGAATAATCGGATCTTCTAAGACCAAAGCATAATTTGCAGAAAGGCCAAGAGTGTGTAAATCTGCATTAGTTCCTTTGGATTATGGATACAAGTTTTCGTGGATCAAACAAAACTTTGAACAGATATATGTGAACCTTTCTCTTCAAGTTCTTGATCACAGCTATACAGAAAAAGCAACTTACATAATTGACTAAGACACCTATAGACCGCTTAGAAACCGATTCGTGATCGCAAAAAATGTTGTGACCGTCAGGAGAATCGAGGGCAAAAATCGGATACCGGATAGTCTCTTCCCGGAACTCTTTTTCGGGAAATGCTTAGGAAGCTCACATTCTTTTCCATTGAAGAAAACTCTCTTAGGGAATCCATCTCCTCCGGGGATATTCAAATTTCCCAAATTACGTTTTTTAAACGATATAACCGACTGCATTTTCCCGGGAATCTGCGGGTCTCTCGCAGGATTCGTCCCGTTAGTGATACCGATCAAGTAGTTCATACCGCGAAGGCCTTGGAAGAAAATGGTCTGGTTCTTAGGAGGGACTCTTGACCCATTAAAGGAGTAAACATTCTCATACCCTAAACCAGCTTTGCCTAAATCCAAAGCTGCAAACCAATCCTCCACTGCATTATTTCCCCAATTAAACAACGTCACCCGCGCGGACCATCCATCACTGTAATCCGAGTTAAGATGCCAGTTTAAGCTGATTCCACAGTTGTCAGGACAAGGAAGCTTCTTTGGAACAGCCATGTGTTTCTGCTTTGCCCATACTTTTGCCTTGAGCGTCCTGTTATCAAACGGTACCAAGAGCGTGTCCGGAGGGAGGAGAAGCGGTCGGGCATTGGCGTTGCAAGTGTCAGTATCGATATCCTCGCAGCCGCAAGCACAAGTGTTGCAAGGAATGGCTGAGTCGTTATAAAAGGCTGAGAAAGAGACGCAGCAACGTGCAGCTTGTGGTTTAGGCTTGGTAATGTTGCATATGACTTGCCAGCTGGCGATAGCGTAGGTGGTGGCTTGGAGACCGCTCGGATCAGGGAACCCCGTCGGGTCCACACGTACTGGTAGTCCGCATTTGTACTGCGGATTCACTATTCCATCGATTTTCCAGTGCTGAGGAGGAAAGAATGCTGTTCTGTTCTGATCAGGTGGCACCTTGTACACCTGAACCAAACATCAAAACCGGTTTATAGATATCCGAAAATGAAAAGATTGAACCTAAAGTCAAACCGAAACACGATAAATGGAACCTGTAATTGGAAAATAGCTTTGGATTTAGAGGGATCCATGAGAGTGGGCAAGAGAGTGCCATTCTTGCAGCAGAAAGGCAATTTCCCGGTGATATTATCGTCTTTACGTTCAGCCGGTAAATCTTTGATGATCGGTTTCTTCTGGCAATTAGCGACCTGGGAGAAATCTAGATCCCCGTAGAACTGCCCTGCCTTGCTGTGTAAGCATTCCGATGGATTCTTCTCGGCTGCGTAGGCTCCACGCATCGAATAGATGAACTCGCCTCGCATCCACTCCCATGTCAAGTTCCAATGGTCTAGCCGTCCCAACGGACTAGTGTTGTCTATAGTCACCTGTGTCCAAAACAAATCAATTCCGATTCTTTATGTATAGTCTCTCCCGAATCTATATATCAATCGAACTGATGTATCCGGTGATTAACCTGCGCCATGTAGTTGCTCGTGTAGGCTTGAAGAATGTCGTAGATTATGTTCAGGTCACCGCGTCTTCTAGGCGTGAACTTGGTTTTCACCTTTTCTTTAGCTTTAAACTTTGGGTTCCTCTTGCAGCAAACTTGCATTGTACCACCTGTCGTTCAAAAACCAGAACCAAAGGATTGAAAATCGGTCTTAACCGACTGTTTCTTCCTTAACAAGAAACCAAGGGCTTTAGGTCATTGTTACCTTTAGAAGTAGCAGCAGGGCATTGCCATCCATCATTTGTGAGCTTGATCGTTTTCGGCAATGGCGTAGCCGTGCCTTTACCGCCAAAAACCGTTCCAGTTATCTCGATGTTTGTGGAGATCTGAGTGTAATCTCCAGCAGTCGCGATCGAGGTCTTGAGATCCGTATTCGGAGACCCGATAAACGTCGTCCCGTTGCTTGCATCGTAAGGAAAGTCACCATCCGAGGAGACAGCTCCGGTCGCGGAAACAATGATCTCTCTGTGGTGAAACCCTACAAACATTTGCCAACCTTTGACCTCTTCAATACCGGTGTTAACGATCATGGCCGTTGCTTTGAACGACCAGGCTTGAGCCGTGGCGTTATGGGTGCGAGGATACAACTTTTCGCGGCCGCCGGAACTGTAAGACATGTAAACTCCGTTGCAACGGACCAGACCTGGAGGAGGAGTGTCCTTGGCCGGGGCATCGTCGCCGTAGTCTTGAGCAAGAGATAATGTCGGAAACAGAAGAATGATTAGAGGTAAAAGAAGAAGGAGAAGGAGGTTTAAACGAATCTTCATCGCTACCGTGTTTCCTAAGTTTCTTAGGACGCAAGAAAGAGAAGAAGAAGAGAGATGATCAAAAAGCTAAAGCGAATTAGAGAGGCAGAGCATAACGGTTTCTCTTCCTCTAGTTTTTTCCCTCTTTCTCCGGAGAAAACAGAGATAATACAAAATCAAATTAAAACCAAAAAAAAAGAAATATGTCAAAAAAACAATACAGTCTAAATTATAATTATAGCAAAATACACACTATTGTCACATCTGGTTCATCCGAACCTGAGCAAAAGGTATCATCAAAAGGAAATTTGGTTAAGCCGGAAATAAAACAATTGGAAGAAAAACAAATGTTTGAAGTTTGAAAATATTTTAAAATCATTTCACAACAAAGATTGGTTTTATTTGGGGAGTTTTTTGTTTTTAATATACTGTCTTCTATGTCAAATTGGATGGTGCAAACCCGGATTTTCTTTATAAATCTCCAACATAACTACCCGTCGAGCTACTGTCATTCCACCATTTTTGTTTTTTTACATTTTATAAATAAAAAGTTGTTTAAAATCCTATAAAATTGTCTTCCAAAAGTGTAGAAATTATATTCATAATGAATCTCCGAGATTTGAACTAATTTTCTTCCACTGAATCTCCGATACTTGAAGCACTTTTAGTCAGCCTCGTAAGTATTAATACGGTAAGAAAACAACAATTTGAAACCTATGGAAATATAAATATTATATATTTTCATGTACTACATATGGATGCAAGCCTAAGGATCTCTCAAACTTGTAAAACCAGAACAAGAAGGTCCATGACCATACACCAGTATGTTCCAGTGAGTCCCTAAGGCTTTTAAAACTCTTGTTTTCAACAAACGATTTTTACCCGAAGAACTGCGAATAAGCAACTAAGAAACCGAGATCTCTTCCATGCCGCTGATTTCTTCAGTCACCTGATGTTGTACTTTGGGCTCCAAGTCGATGAACTGGTTTGACTTGCTTGCTAGATGTGAGATACTAACTCTTCCTTGACGTTTGATGTAATCTGCAACCGCATTCATCTCTTCCATTGATATGTAAATGTATTTTCCTCTATCATCCATAACCCCTGAGAGCCGCCCTGAATAAAGAGAGAAGGTGTTTAGATCTTAAGAGTCCCATTACGGTTTCACCTATACACACGGTCATCTCATTTGCTTTTTCATATTGCTTCAGGTTACTACTCCCATAGTTAATCACAGATTGCCATACGAGATGTGAATGCTATGTTTACGAATGAATTCAGAGAAACATACCAATGCTCTCCAAAGAGGCGATCCTGTTGATGCATTCCTGCAAAAGCAAACAGTTGAAGCAGACTTGAGAACAATGACAAAAGGTATTCCATCTATGTTTCACATAGAATATGTAGCCAGATGATACCTGAGTTCGTAGATTAAATTCAGCAGCCAGATCTTCAAGTGGAACACATTTCTGTTTCTGCAATCACACATTAAAGAGCAAAAGGAAGGTTCAATATTTCTGCACACTGATATGGGGTGATACACCATTTGTATCTATACTTCATTGTTAGTTTATTTCTATTCTCAAAATGACGATTAAAATGGGAGATCGGAAAGTGTTTCGTAAAGGGCTATTCAAAGACATACCTTTATGTATTCAACAAATTCTGAAAGCAAATCTTGATTTCCAGCCTGCACTTCCTCTGTAGTACCTTCAGCATCAACTGAGAATTCTCCTTTCCATTTGTCAAACTCTAACGCAGCTGCCTCTTCTTCCTTGGCTTGACGTGCTTTTTCTTCTTCTTCCTACACATTAATGTCGCAATATACCAAGTCTAGTATTCCAAAAGCAGGAAGCCTACTAAACAGAACAAAATCTGAGATAAATTAGTTGACTCACCGACTTCCGCTCCTCAGCCTCGCGCTCCTCATCCTTCTTCCTCCGCATTTCTGCATACCAATCTTGTTTTGTATTCTTTGACTCGCGTGTAGCTTCTTCAGCCTTTACCAGACAATATCAAAACAACTCAACAGGGAAACTCTTGCCCAAAAATATTGCACTAAACTGAGATCAGATGAACCAACGCTCTATCTTTACGTTACAAACTAAAACTCATACAGTTGCGGACGGCAACTTGTTGCCTGATATTCCTAGAATTTCTCATCCTTAATCCTAATTTCCAATAGAATATTAGAAGAATTATCGGCGATAGATATTGTTGGTCACCTGTCTTTGTGCCTCCCGTTCTTGTCTCTTTTTCTCTTTCTTCTTTGATGCTCTGGCTTGATTTCCACCAACG